ATGTTTTAAACATGTTTGAAAAACATTTTTATGATGTTTGAAATGCAATGAAAAGAATTTTAGCCTAAAGAGCCAATGTGTAAAGGTTGGGTCGGTCTTGATCACAATTATGACCGACTCAACAACGCTAAGATTACGGTCTTCGTTCTTGGTCTTCTTTTGGGTCTTGTTCTCTTGCTTTCTTCTTATATTTATTTCTCGCCTTGTATATTCAATAACTTGTCTCGTTCACGGCGGTTTGGCATTATCAAAACCTGTCATAAAAACGAACACGGCTTAAGTACGAAAACACGTTAAACCCGTGTTTCAACAGACAATGTGGTAGTGGCGGTGGCACAAATAGATATGTGGTGGTGGTGGGCGGAAATAAGTGTGGCGTTGATGGCGGTGGCGATGATGATAGTGTGGTGCGAAGGGAGGCAATGCGGTGATAGAGGTGGTAGTGATGATGGCAGTGTGGCAAAAAACCAGGTGCTAATTGCCAAAATTTGGTGATACTTGTTATAAAAGGGCAAAATTGGCATTTCAAACACTCATGTCCATGCGGGACTTCCATTCTGAATAGCAGTGCTATTTTGGGCATTAATCACATATCCTAGTGCTATTTCTGTACTTCTCCCATTTTATTAAGTTCTGATCTGGTCTGGTTTGATCTGCTTGGATCTGATCTGATCTCATCTGATCTCATCTGATCTGGTCTAATCTGATTGAATCTGATCTGATCCGATTGGATCTGATCTGATCTGATCTAATCTAGTCTGATCTGATTAATTATGATTTGATTTAAAATTCAAATCAATAATTTTGATTTGACTTTATAATAACGTTTGAAAATTGTGATGATAATTCATATTATAATATAATCAATATTTTTTATTTAATGAATATTTTTTAATAAAATAAAATTAGTTAATACATATATTAGAATAATCATTCATATTACAATGTAATAATTTTTTTTTGTTTTATGATTATTTTTTTGTGAAATTAGAATATTAATTTAATATTTTAAGAATTACTCCCTCCGTCCTGGAGTATTCGTCCACTTTTGACTTTTGGAACTGTTCATCTAAGCACTTTGACTCATCAAATTCTCTCAATGTGTAAGCCTAAATATAGTCATGTAAGATCTTGTTTGATTTGTCTTAACATATAGATTATTAATATATAATTTCTATAATTTTTTAATATACAAATTACAAGATAAAATAGATTAAAGAAGTGTATTGGATGATGTGTAATAATAAAAGTGGACAAATACTCTGGGACGGAGGTAGTACTTCATATATACATTAGAATAAATATTTAATTTATATATACATTAAAAAGTAATTAAATTTAGATAATCAATATATAAAAGAGATAGTATTTTTATTAAAATATCTCATCCTTATAAAAGATCAAAACTTTAGAAACTCAAATTACAAGTAGCAATAAAAATATATTTTAAAAGTACAATTAGATTGACATTGTCAATGTATTTTAAAACTAATTTTTCCGACGTCTAATAATTAAGGATTACTTTCTCATTTTTCTATTTAACCTGTTTCTAAAGTTTATTCTTTTTCATTTTAAGAACAACAACAACAACAAGAATAATAATAATAATAATAATAATAATAATAATAATAATAATAATAATAATAATTCTTGATGGGATCTGATTTTAGTAAGTTTTGATCTGATCTGATCTGATTGGATCTGATCTGATCTGATTCGATCTGATCTAGTCTGATCTGATCTAATCTGATTTTAATAAGAATAAGAAAAAATAAGAAAAAATAAGTTGAACGGAACAGGGCCCATAAACTTAACTAATACGGAGTACGAGTAAAAACTTGACAATGTTCAATTACGAACTATTTGAAATAATTATACGGAGTATTTATTAATGGTTAAAATATGGAATCCTTGTCCAAAAAAATCGAATTGTAAAAAAAGGATTTTGAGAGTATAGCTTGACCATATTATTTATGAATGAGAATTTTATTTTAGAACACGAGGAGTATAAAATAAAAATAGTGCTAACATAGTCCCGTGGGTAATTGTTACGGATCATTTTCTTTCGATCCCTAATTGGAAAAGAAAAAAAAGTCCCCATAATAATGAAGAATTATAACTCGATACATAGATAAAGGAGGCAAGGGAATAGGAACAGAGCGAAGAACATGCGAGGAAAACATCCATGGAGTTTCAAAATTGAAGAGTAGAGACTAGAGAGACGGTTTGGATGATTATATTGGTGTTGTTTTGTAAGTACTCGATTTGTTAAAACCTAAATGCACTCCAAATTGTATGCTTGAACCTCGTGGTACTACAATGTTGTTTTGATCCCGAGATATGCTATATTTATGTGATTAGTGATTACTGGTTGTGGGGCAGAATGCAAATATATATATATATATATATATATATATATATATATATATATATATATATATATATATATATATATATATATATATATATATATATATATACACTCCCTCCGTCCCGGAAAACATGGGAGTTTTGGTTTTAGAGAGAGATTTAAGGTGAGTGTATTTTGGTATTGAATTTCCAAAAATGTCCTTTGATGTGATGGGTAAAAGTATGATTTGATGGATAGATTATTAGTGAAAAGGTATGATGTGATAGGTATGATATGAAAAAGTAAGGGGTAAAAGTGACTTTTTAATAGCAATGAGAAGTATTTTTTGGGACGGATGAAAAAAGAAAGGAGAAATGTTTTCTGGGACGGGGGAGTATAAATACAGAAAATATTCATTATTCATGGTATTAGAGTAGAAACCCTATCCGTCGCTCCATCTCCCCCCTCACCGTGTCTTTCTACTTTGGTGTCTCCCTTCGCCAATCACACTCGGCTCTCCCTCGGTGTCTCCCCCCTCTCTCTCTTTCGGCGTTCCTCTCTCTCGCTGAACCTCTGCAATGTCTACCATGGAGAAAGCCTCCACCACATCCTCCTCCACTCCTCCTCACTTGGCCTTCACAATAATCTCCAGCTTGAAGCTACATGTTCCTATTCTTTTGACCTGGGACCACATGGCAAGTCTTACGACACTGGTGGTGGCTGGGGCAGTCACAGCAGCGACAAGCGTGGTTCTAATAGAGGGAGCGGAAGACGCGGATGAGGGAGCAGCAACCGCGGTCGAGGTCGAGGACGGAGGTCGAGATCAAATCGACGGCCCACCTTCGGTCCACCATCTTGGCAGTCGTCCTACCCTTATCCCAACCCAAACCCAAGTCTCTTGGGCCCTAAGCCGACCAACTCTCCCAACACCTTCCCCACTCAAGCTTATTATGCCCACCCCAATCCCCCCAACCCCTACCTGAGTGATGCTTACGGTCACTTAACCCCATACCCAAACCCCTACCCTCCCACTCCCCTTTACCTGTAGCCCACACACCCCCAACTACAACCCTTCGCCACAAACCCCCACCCAAATGCATTAGCCCACCACTTTGACCATATCCTCCGCGACCCTACATGGTACATGGACACAAACACTTCTCACCATTTTGCTTCTGACACAGGTAGTCTTTCCAATGTTCGTTCTCATTCTTTAAATTCACCATCACATATCAATGTTGGTAATGGTTCTAAAGTTTGCACTATGACTACTGGTAATTACTTTTTTCCCACCTCCCTTCCCTTCTCCCTCCATGACATACTTGTCTCCCCCATATCATTCATAATCTCATCTCTGATATCTGATGTGGATCCATTTAATCCATAAATGTCCTTCTTCAAAGCTATATCCCAAATTAGCTTCATTATACAAGCCTTATTCCACATAACCAAGTTCTTGAGTCCTAATCCTCCATTCTTTTTGGAAGTGAAAAGGTCATCTTAGGAAACTAAAGGGACTCTTTTTTATTCATGAGATGAACACCAAAGAAAATTTTTGCCTAGGATTTGGACCTTATTCATCACTTTTGAAGGAATTAGGAAAAGTCTTCAACAAAAACTCATTATCCAAAACAATATAGAATTGCTGAAATTGACCTTTCCAGCATAAGAGAGATGTTTAGAAGACCATGGAGTGATTTTGGCAGTCATGCTTTCCACTAATCTGCCACATTCTTTATTAGTAGTCCTAGAAGAGGTAATAGAGCTTTCTAAATATCTGAAAGGAAACATACCTTTGTTCATATTAGTCAGACGTAACATGTTCTCCTCCATCTCCTTAGGAATTCCACCAAAGATAATTTCAGACTTTAAAGAGTTCACAAAAAGACCTGTTGCACACTTGAAATGGTCTAGGGCATGCATGAAAGAGTTAATAGATTTCACTTCAGCTTTACATGCCACAATTAGGTCATCAGCATATATGATATTGATAAGCTTCAATGATTTACAGAGAGGATGATAACTAAAGCTTTTGTTGCTAGCATAGTAATGGAAAGACCTGGTTAGGTAATCCATGATTAGGACAAATAGGTGAAATAGGGTCACTTCAATTCCTTAATCCTCTTTTCACTTTAAAAATGTCAAAATTCTCTCCTACTAAGTTGTATAGTGTATGTAGTAGATGTGATACAGTATCTAATCTAATTGATAAACTTTGAAGGGAATTTAAGAAGTATAAGCAATTGCTCGATTGCTTTCCAAATTACATTGTCATAATCCTTTTGGAGGTCTAGCTTCATCAAACACCTGCGGGATGAGGCTTTTATGTTTTAACCACTTGCATGTTCTTGGCATAGATGAACATTGTGGACTAATTCTCTTCCTTCTCTGAAAGCTCTTTGATTTAAACTGATAATATTTGACACAGCCAGCAGTGGGTCTTAAGTCCGCTGGGGACTTTGGGTCCTCCTTCTTTGGGATGAAAATTAGGTTAGTAGCAATGATTTGTTTAAACGTGTCATCTTTTTGAAAGAAGCTCAAAATATCTTTTGAAATCAGCTCACCCACTTTAGATGTAACACCCAAACTCGCATAACCCGAACCAAAGAGTTAACAAATCGTGTTGCTACTAAATTGATATTCACAACACAACAATTTAGACAAATTATTCAAAATATTAAAACACTAAAATAGATACGAAAAGTTCAGAGTAAAGTCTATCAAGTGCGGAAGTCTCAAAATAATGTTCTACAATAAATGTTTAACCCAAATAATTAATTAACGCAATAATTAAATATCCATAAAAAAATGGTGACATCATCCACGGCGTCACGCGTCAACGTCCTCCAGGCTGTCCCTCCTAATCCAAATCCCTACCAGCGTGCAGTCAAAGACAATAAGACTACACACTCAGCTGAAAGCTAAGTGAGAGAAAGATCTAACACTAGAATTAATTTCGCAGATAGTATCACATTTATATAATTAGCAACATCAGTGAATAATCAACATTTATTTCCGGTTACAAGGATCCAACAGTTCCAATTCATTTATTCTCAATGGGCTAATTTTGTCCCTACAACATTAAGGGGCTGTTTGTTTCAGCCTCTTAATGGTTCAGATGTCTGAATGGTTCAGCACTTAATGGTTCAGACTGTTTGTTTCAGCCTCTTAATGGTTCAGATGTCTGAATGGTTAAGAGATTTGCCTCTGAATGGTTAAGTATTATACAGAGTCTGAATGGTTAAGACCTCTTATCTGAATTGATCAGACATTTGCCTCTGAATAGTTAAGCAATATACTAGCTCTTAATGGTTCAGACCTCTTACTGGTTCAGCACTTAATGGTTCAGACCTCTTACTGGTTCAGCACTTAATGGTTCAGACCTCTTACTGGTTCAGCACTTACCCATTCAGAAGTTGTCAAACAGCCCCTAAGACTTAATTCAACATACTAGAGTTACGGACACTCGAGCGGATCCCTCGAGGCCAATGCTCGGACAAACCCAAAGAGAATCCTCAATGGGCGGGTTGGTGTCTCTACCAAGGAATCCCTTAGGTAGAACAGTGACTCCCGTACGTACGTTTTGAACCCTGGATCACTGGATTTGCAAACATGCTCCACAAGGCCTGAACCTGACAACAGTCCTATTGGTGATTAAACTATCCAATTCAGTTCAGATCCACCTAGGTATACTAGGTGGCCAATTTTCAACAGAGTTCTCAAGTGACAACAATCACTTAAACATTTCCATAAACAGAACAAAACACTCAGCGGCCTATCGAAAGAATCACTTCTCACCGATTACCGTCATGCTCAAACAACAAGATTTAACTCAACAATTTTAAAATAACTTACCTATGTCGCGAACTCGTGAATAAGGATTTATCTTCAGGCCCGCTGCACCCACCGGAACAGTATCAGTTACCACCGGATCAAGCCGACAACTCGCCGGACAGACCCGGCGGCCCGAAAACCAACCAACCAAGCCCCCCAGGCGGCTGCCCACCGCCCGGAAACCTCACAGCCCTCTCGGGCAGCCGGCCCAAATCGGCCCAATCAACCCGACAGCTGCCCGGCAACCCCCAACCGGCCCAACAACTACCCGGCAGCCCCGGCAGCCCGTCCACCAAATCGCCTGCCCCTTGCCGGACCGGGCAGCCGGCCCAACACCCAACAGGGAACGGGTTTATCCAATTTCAACCCGATTATACCCAATTTAGCCCAAGCAAGTTCAATTGACCCAAAGTAGAACCCAAACCAACCCAATTAGACCAATTTGACCCAATTGGGTCAAATAAATACCAATAGGAACCCTAACAGAAAATCCGGCAGCTTGGGCCGATCCTCCGCCGGCGACCCGCCGGAAAACCGCCGGAAATCCGACCCCCAAACCAGCCCCAATGGTTCACCACCCCAACCCATTCATCAATTCCACAATTTTCAACCATCAATTGCAAGATTAAACACAAACGAGATCCTAAGCTACGAATTAACGCTAATGATAGATATTTGGGACCACGAATCACCTCAAAATCGAAGGAATTGAAATTCAAGTTGAAGGAGGAGGATTAGCCGCTGAAACTCCCTGGTTCGACCCAACCCACTGCGCGCGACGGGGAAGAGAGGCAGGCGACGTGGCAGCGCTCGGCGATGTGGCGGCGCTCGGCGGCGTTGCCGCGGCTACTGGTTGACGGCGACGGACGGTACTGACGTAGAGAAGAGGAGAAACGGACGGGAGATCTATTTAATAATTCGTACTATACTATTATACTATTCACAAGTTAAACTTAACTCACTTTGTTTGCTTATTTTGACCATTCATTTCATAAAATAAAATAGTATTGTCACCCCTAGTTTTGTAAAACTTTTCATGTACTTTTTAACTACTTCCTCCGACCCACAAAAAAGTTCCCATTTTGAATACTCCGTATCCGTAGTATTTAGTCAAATATTTACACACTTTGACTACAAATTGTGAGAAAGGTATATTGAATTATAAAATAAATTTAATATAATTGGATTCATCTTAAGATCTAGTTTTGATATATCAAATTTTTTTAGCATTTCTTTATTTAGATTATATTTAATTTATGGTCAAAGTGTGTAATTGTTTGACCAATTTATGGTCAAAATGGGAACTTTTTTGTGGGACGGAGGGAGTATAAATTTTATTTTTAAATTTTATCTTTACAATCAAATAAATTGAATTGAAAATAAAGTCGATCAAACCTCGTAACGTGCAATGAGAAAATCATTGGTGGACGGAGAGAGTATTAAATTAAATAGATTTTAGGGTCCTGTTAGCACTTTCTAGCCGGTTAGAATAAATTTAAGCCCATCTACCTTATTCAGCAGTCGTATCTTGGGCCCTATAAGTCCGATTCTTAATCCGTTTATGCGGTTGGGTTCAGAACAGCGAGTCCTACAACGTAGGTCAACTCCCATATTAAGTATGAAATTTAGAAAATAATCTCGTGTTGACCGACTCAGTAAATAATTAATTATATAATTTAATTAAAAATACTAAGCCAGGTTTCGGGGCGTTACATTAGACCATTTGTTTGTGAAGAATCCACTACTATAGCCATCCGGGCCCGGGCTCTTCTGATTAGAAATCTCAAATAAGAAACTCTTAACTTCTTCATGTGTAACAGGTGAGATCAACATTAGTTGTTGTTCTATAGTCAAGACACCGCCCATATCAACTATACCTTTATTAAGATCCTTTATATCAATTCTAGTCCCCAGCTGATTTTTAGAATATTCCACTAGAATTTTAGCTTCCTCCGCTTTTCCCTTCTTCTCAAATCCTATTGCATTAGTGAGAGAGGTAATGTGATTTTGGAGTTTCCTCTTTTTGACCCATGCATAAGATAAGTTGGAATTTTGATCTCCGTAGGTTATCCATTCAACTATGGATTGTTGGCATTTCAAAAGGAAAGTAGCCTTGAGCTTAAGGTGTAGCTCCTTTTTCATACTTTTTATGTACATATCATACTAGTATCAACACAATTACTATTTGTAATGTCTATAGAAGGATGTCCTAGCTGATAATGTATGTCTTGATATGTGAGGATGGCCGATCGCACAAATGGCGACACCACATAAGATTCTGATATATGATACTTTGAGGGCGACATGTAATATCCTTGCTCACCACAGCCTCTGTCCTTGTGGGTGTTATTGTCTGGGGTCTGATATTATGTGGATGTAAACATAAAGGTGCAAATATTATCTTTGGTGAAGCGGTAAAAAGAGGGAAGGTGAAACTCAAGAGATGGGAGATGTGTAACACCCCAACCCGCATAACCCGAATAAATGTATTAACGGTCCAGGTTATTACTAAATTGGTACCCATATACAATATTTTCCAAATAAATTAAAAGCATTTAATTTAGAAATTTAAATATTACTCCCTCCGTCCAAAAAAGAAGTTCCCGGTTTGACCCGGCACGCACTTTAAGAAAAGTTGAAATTGTCTTTGACTTTCCCATATTACCCTTATGCCTACTCTCTTCCGATCCTCAATCCTCACTTCCTTCTGTGAACCCTCATACATCTCCTTCAACCATTATTACCACAAAAATTAACTTTCTTACACATAAAATTAAATTGAGGAATTGGGGAAATCTGGGAAATTTATAGTTAGAACTATGAACAAATATGGGAAGCTTTGGGAAAAAAGAAAAATTAAATGGGCGGAGGTGATGGAGATTACACTACATTAGACCTGTCC